AAGGAGAGAAAGAAAGGACTACACGCCTTGGCACTAGATGCAGCTTCAGAGAATGCTTTGAAACAGCACAGCAATCCAGGGCTGGAAGGTACCTGGAGGTCATCTAGTCCAACCCCCTGGTCCAGAAAGTGAGTTTCTGTCTTTTGACCTCCTAGTCACATGATCACACAGCCACCAAGCCATGGCCACAGAACCAGTAGTAAACGTTTTTGAATTTGGTGTTCTGGTGGCAAGCTGTTCCACTGGTTAATTGTCTTCACTATTAGGAAGTTTCTCCTTAATTCCAGGTTGCTTCTTTCCTTGATTGGCTTTCAATCCATTGTTCTTGTCCTGCTTTTTGGTTCTCTGGAGAATAGCTTGACTCCCTCTTCTCTGTGACAGCCCCACAAATATTGGAGCACTGCCATCATGTCACCCCCGGTCCTTCTTTTCATTAGAGTAGACATTCCCCAATTCCCACAACTGTTCATTGTACAGTTTGTCTTCCAGTCCCCTAATCCTCTTGGTTTCTCTTCTCTGCACTCTTTCTAAAGTCTTAACAACTTTTTTTGTATTGTAGTGACCAGAACTGGAGGCAATATTCTAAGTGTGGTCTTCTACCAGTGATAAACAGAAATTGGACTGCCATTTTGTCAGAAATGGTGTAAGGTAGCCTGCCAAGGCAGGGAGTGGGTTGGACTAGATGACCTACAAGATCCCTCCTGTCTCTGTGAATCTGTTATTCTGAAACGGACTAACAAAAGAGGAGGCTCATTGATAGGTAAGAAATCACTACCCCTCTACAGAAAGGCACACCAAAAAACAAAACAAAAAACCAATCAGGAAAATCTTTTTAGATCTCCGCTACCCAAAAGAAAAGATGAACAAATAGCTGAATAGGTGGATGAATGCTTATAATTTCTGTAACTTTGAAGTTTGGGAATATGGGCTTTGTGTTTGCAATATGGGCTTTGTGTTTCTAAAAGGGTGTTGGGCAATTCCTATCTGTGTTTTCCCAAAAATAAGACCCTGTCTTATATATATATATATATTTGCCACAAAAAAAAGGCACCAGGTCTTATTTTGGGGGGACGTCCTCCACTGACTAATCTCATTTGTGCATGTCGCTCCTGGCCTCCTTTTCGCCATCAGAGGCCTGGAGTCTGGAGTGGGTGGGATCTTAATTAGGGCTTATATTGGGGTGTAGGTGTAAAAATCAAGCTAGGACTTACTTTCAGGGTAGATCGTATTTTCGGGGAAACAGGGTTTTGGGGTCTAATTGGCTTTTGTCATGGGTTGGATCTTGGGGTGAGGGGCTGCTTATTCTAATCCTACCCTTCTGCTTTGATTAGCTGTCAAACTTTGCCACAAGGAGTTTTCTAAATATCCTGTCTTGATTGGGCTTCTGCCGGCAGGATCTTGCTTCGTTTATGGATAGAGCCATCTAGATAGTTGGCTTCCTTTTTCAATAAGCTCTTTGTCTCCTTAAGTGTTGGCATCTGCTGGGGGCTGTTAAAAAGAACTGGGGGGGGCTGCTTCCTGCCTCTAAAAAAACATTTCTCCATTTCTCCTTTAGGGAAATATAATATTCTGCCTTTTTTTTTAATATTTCCCAAAATGTTTCATTCTTCGGGGTGTGAAGAGGGGTTTCCCACATGGGTAAAACAAAGAAACCTGGGGAAGAAGGATTTCAGAGGACAAATAGGTGGATTTCAAGAGTTTTGGGGGGGTTCTGAAATTAGCAGAAGGAAGGTTCGTCAGGTGCCACTTCTAATGGGCTTCAAGCTGCTAGCCAGACCATCCCATTACCTGCCATCTCCGTCTTGTTAAACCAGAAAACTTTCTTGATGTCCTCCAGGTTCTCCCAGGATTCCTGTCGATCCGAAAAGCCTCTCAGCTTGAGTTCTACCGCTCTGAGACAAATAGAAAAGCGGGATTGAATAGGTTAGATATACCTCCTACGGTACCTGATGATGTTAGCTAGTTGAGTTGTAAAATGTCTGCAAGAAAACAAGATAGCTCAGAGAGCACGAAGGATGCCACAGTCTTCCTCCTCCTCCTCCTCCTCCTCCTCCTCTTCTTCCTCCTCCTCTTCCTCTTCCTTTTGCAAACCCCACTCCCTTCTAGCACTGATGATGTTACCTAGTTGGGTCATGAAACGTCTGCAGGGAACCAACCAAGCTCAGAAACCACCAAGGATCCCACAGTCCTCCTCCTCTTCCTCCTTGCAAACCCTACTAGCACTGATGATGTTACCAAGTTGGGTCATGAAATGTCTGCAGGGAAACCCCCAAGATCGAAGACCACCAAGGAGCCCACAGTCCAACTTTGAGCTACAAAGATTCTCTCTCTCTTTTTAAGATAGATAGATTCTCTTCTATCGATACCCCTAAAGATCCACCTTGCTTATCTTCAAATCCAAACAAACCAAGGTTTTTTCGG